AATATTGACAACAATAATAAAACAGAGATAGAGATTGATTCAAACAACATAAACTTACATGACTAACTTAATATTTTATGTAAAAGGCATGCAAAGATTATTTACGACATCAAAAATATTAAAAATATTTCGTATACTAATTTAAAAATCTTCTTATATTGTATATAAAAGCACAGCATTTGTGTAGGATTATTAAAAATCACTCATCTAGAGGGTATACTACTAAAGGATACCTCAACAAATTTCTAATCTCATATCCGCCCAAAAATATGTGCAAGTGCAAAAACAATATTTTTTTAAACCATCGTGTATATTAAATATACTCATCACTTCACTCAGAATCTAAAAGTGACTTTTTTCGACTAACTGCATGTTAATGGTTATAAAAATAATGTTTGTACCTATAACTTTAAGTGGGCAAGGTAAGAACATTTTTCAAAATTATATAAATTATTTGAGGAAATGAGTGGCTTTCGTTAAAAACACCCACTCTGCACGTGTCAAATAAAAATGTATTTTCTGCATAACTTATGCATTCATGGGTATTATAATTATGGATTCTAATCCGAATTAATGATTATATTTAATTCGTTGATATTAGTAGGTATATGATGTACACAACGTACATGTTGGTAGGTACTACGAGACAACGCCTATATATACAAGTGTTCAAAAACATTATTCACCAATACTTATCAATTTTCTAATTCAATATAGGCATTCCTACCTACTTATAATTTATATAGTAATATTATTATAGTGCCCGTATAACTGTTGTATATACATTCATAAAGTATTTTGTTACATCCATCTAATTGTTTTAAGTAAACAATTACAATAATTATGGGTTTAATTAAATAATATTATTTTACATTATAGTAACACGTTTATTGTAATACATTTTTGTTACATTATTATTGTAATACATTATTGTTATATTATTATTTTATTATTTAATAGTTTCTGTTTGACTAAATTAATTGTTTGTATATGATTTACTATTGACACATTAATAATTAGTATTATATTGATTTGAATAAATCAACAAATAATTGTTTTAGATATTTTTTAATTTGTATTGAAGGTTAAGCATATTATAATGCAATAATTGAAATATACTGATTATATATATTTTTTAATTTCTTTTTATTAAAAAAGAAAGCTTCGATGATGTGACCATTGGCTTGTTTTACATATTATAGGTACTTAAATAATTTAAACTAAATTTTACATTTTAATATCATTTCATAAATAATAATATATTTTGGATAGATTCTTCATCGGAGCCCTAATAATAAATTATAATGATACTAAATACGATAATTATAATAGGTGTCTAACCTACATTTATTACAGTAAAATTATTTGTTAATTTCATAACGCGTTTTCATTGTTGACATTAAAACAAATAGACAAATATAACAGTTTAGATATTGTAGATTAACAGTTTAATATATATTGACAGCTGGTGAAGGTATTAAATAGGCGTATAGCGTGACTTAATAAAAAAGCAATATCTGTCAAGTACAAAAAAAAATTATTGAAAATTAAACACATACAGCAACATTTTAAACTAAACTCTTCAGAGAGAAATTATTAGTAACTACGCACTATACCTAACCAGCCTAAACATTTTAATGAGAAAATACAAATTGTATTATAAAATATATGTACCATATAGGTATATCTATATATTTTTGAATTGTTGAAGGCAATTCAATCATACGATATCTATAGAAATTCAATAAATACAAAATATGTATCACTCCAATAAATTAGTCGCTTAAGAAACTATATATTGAAAGTAACTGCTATCGTTAATGCGGGTAAAACCTTATTTTTGATTTAAACGCTGCAATATTATGTGTATACTTCTGCATATATGTGTGAACAATATAGTATATATTTTATAACTCTAGGCTCGACATAACAAATTAAAAAATAAAAATATTCTCATTATATTATTATATACTTTATATTATGTAAGGCTCATCTTTGTAGTATAATATATTATAATATAATAGGTGTATACATTTCAGGGGGTGTTAAAAAAATTATTATTAATCATCATAAATTCTAATATAGGTAGGTATACCTATATATATAGCGAGATATGAATGCACTGCATGACGTGTCTGCAGCAGCCGCGTTCAATTTCTACAAGTACTCGCGGTTCAGTTCGGCATAATTAATATATTATTATATTATACTGCACTGCTATGCACTATGCAGCCTGTCATCCGATGTGCACGAGCACTGACATGCACCAGTATAGAGATCTCTGCAGAAATTCATGTAATTGTAAATATTATGTATAATATATGCAGTGTTTTTATAATTGTCTCGGTAACAGACTTTGTACTTAAAAGTAACCTTGAAGGTACATTATTTTTTGTGTGACCAATAAATAGATATACGAATATACATATGGGCTGATAATCTGAGGTCCATACAGTATATTTTAATTATTGTAAAAATAAATAATAGTTTTTTTTTTTACTTTGATATTAAATCTCGTTATGAAACTAATTTCAATTAATAATTTATAAGATAAATGAGTTAAATCTAGATTGCAGAAAAAAAAATACTACAGCAGTCATAATAATATTATACAATGTGTACCGATATTATATTTTACTTATGTATACTATAGATAATAGATATATCATATTAAATTACGAAGTATTCAACAATATCTCAACCATAATAAAAAAAAGCAATGTCTGAAACGCAAAATGGGTTAGGTTGGGAATACCAGTTAATAACACGCCAACAACGTTACCAAAACCTCAGTTTTGTATTTTTACCCTAAACTGTAAGACCTATTAAATCATTACGATTCCGGTACCAAATTATAGAGTGTGGCCGTGTCAATATATGACAAATATATATATATTAAGCTGTCCCGTCACTGCGTTGCCCTTGTATTAGTTTCTTTGTTGGCATTTTCGTAAGCCGTCTGTTAGTATTTAATTTATTTGTATTGATGGTGCTAATATTACGTGGAATCCACAATTTCATTGTGTAAGTGTGTGTGTGTGTGTGTTAATTGATATAGCACCATTAGACTCATTATTATTATTTTTGTATTATTATTAAAGCACTTCCTCATATATCGCATTGGTTTTTCTTCCGTTTGGGGTAGGAATGCCTAAGCTGCTAGGTGAACTACCTCTGGAGCATGCCACATAGAATTGCCCATGTGAAAAGCAGTCATCAGTCAAGTCAATCCCTGCTATCTTTAACAACTACCCTTGCGACTTATTTATGATCATTGTAAAAGATACCTTAATAGGAAACTGCAGTTTTTTAAACTCGAATTTATAGTTTGGTGATAAAAGTGGTATAAACGTTGATTCTCCTTGAGCACAACTTGTAATTATTGTTGCCTTGATGACATTGTTTTGGAGTGCTCTTTCACGCACAGTCTAGTACCATTGTAGAGTTTGGGCGGATGGCGATTTCACAACAGCATAATTGGAGTTCCTACTTTAAGGAATATCTTATGTGCTGAAAAACCAAGAGGATTAAGTGTGTTGAGAAACTCCAAATAATAGTGAACTGCATAATCTGTCTTCTGCAGTACCAAATCTATAGACTTATACTACATTTCAGTTGCCTTAAATGATTTAAGAATAATTTCATTAATCACAGCTGTCCTGTCATTTTTGGGAGTCAAAATAGACCGCTCACATAACCAATCAATCGATTTGTTTTTTATATCGGCAATATCAGGATACATTTGAACTGTAAGTTTTGGTAGGGTTGTAACTACCAAACCTAAATCCTTAGTGATAACCAACTATGCAATAACTATACTATACACAACTAAACTTATAACTATATGCATTTATTCCTAAGTATATTAAGTAGTTATACGCATTTATATGGCTATAGGTAGGTAAATTACAAGATTAAAATAGTTTAAAATGCACTTACGACACTGCAAGAAATATTATCAGCCAATGATAAGTCTATATGATCAGTGTAATCTATAAATTATAAATGACGGTAACATTATTATCGTTGTATAATATATAGGTACCTATATAACTTAATACTTATACAATATTGTATGTTTTATGATTATTTTGACGAGCTAGGAACTTCTGAACGTTCTTTTAAGTATGTACCTACCACTTTTATATTATTAATTTGGTTAACAATAGAATGATTAACTAATATGCGGTTTTAATATCTATTAAATTAACATTGGCAATATTCACATGTGTTATTGAAAAACTAAATAGTTTTTGCACATAATCATTAATAAAAAATAAAAATTTAGTTAGAAAGTTTGGGCCAACATTGGTTCATTATAATTAAAGAGGCTCATATCATACACTCGCGGGCAGCACCTAGCGATGGGCAGTTTATGCGCATACTTTGTAATAATACCTACCTACAAAGCTAATATTATTATAAATCAGTAAGAACGAGACCAGCTTTAACCTACCTACTCAATAATATAATATTATTATGTTATTATTTTATGGTGGACCGATATCGTATTATATGATGATGATGAATTTACCCACCTATACCTAAACACATATTATGAACCACGCGCTTGTGTACCTATGATATATCGCGAGTCCTCGCGGTGGTAAGGAAATCGAGAAGAAAGGACGAAAAGAGGCTGCAGGAGGAGCAGCGGCAGCGTAGGAGGAAGACGACGACGACGACGCGCGCGGACTTGCGGTAGCGGAGTGAGGGAAGGGAAAAGACCGTCGCACCAATGCGCCGAGAAAGAGAAGAAGCGAGCGAGAGGGTATTATTCGGGCGCGCGTACCGTATTTTTTTCCCCTCCTTTCGGAAAAATCCTAAGTGGGTGTTACGCGGCCGCCGGTGCGGTACGGCGCGCGCGGTCCCCATCGCTGCGGCGCTCCGTTCGGGAACGCCCGGCCGGCCAATCGCGGGACGGCCGCGGACACGCCCGTTTCGCCGCCGCCGGGACGCCGCCGCCGGTCCGACCGCGCGACTGACGCGGCGCGCACACCGGCACTGGATCCCTGTGGACGCGGTGCGTTTCGCCGGCACACACTTTCACAGACACACTCACATACACACACGTACTCGCACAATATACTCGCGATCGCGCGCACGCCGTCCGCCGCGCTGCAGTTTTCGTCCGACCAGCGATACACCGTCCGCAAACGCTTACGGGAGCGCACGTGCCGGGCACGACATACGACAAAATACCTTATAATTATTACAATAATAACAATATATAGTGATATTATAACGGTCGCTTCACCACACGTCTAAAATAATAACAATAATAATATGCAATAATATGCAATAATATACCTAATATATTATAATATTGTGTTTGTCGTTATAAATAATTATTACCGATACACGCGCGACAGTGAAATAAAATATTAGAACATCATTAATTCGCGTATATACGCACGCATAGCTACGACGACGACAACAACGACGGCCGCAGCGGGTGCAGATGTGCAGCGCGCGATGAGCGCGGCCGCCAAAGACAAGACGATGCCGCAACGGTCGCCGTTCGCCATACAGGAGCTGTTGGGCCTGACCGACAGCAACAGGAGCCCGGCGGCCGCCGTGTCGGCCGTCACACCCCAGTACCCGCAACCGCCGGCGCCGCCGTCGGCGCCAGGGCCCGCCGGCCCGTCGTCGTGCTTTGCCGCTGACCGGGACGCCAGCCGGATGCACCACCACGGCCACCATCACGGCCACCACCACGGTCACCACCACCACAGCCACCACAGCCAGATGGTGGCCAGCCGGTTCGCGTACTTCAACGCCCAGGCCGCCGTGGCCGCGGCGTTTCTACCGCACAACATGAACTCACTGGCCGCCGCCGTGGGCATGACCGCCGCCGCGGCCGCCAACAACAACGGCGGAGCGCCGCTCTCGCTTACCTCCAATCACGCAGCCGCCGCTGCAGCCGCCGCCGCTGCCGGTAAGTCGTCAGAAAATATTATTATCCGCACGTCGTGCCCATATATGTATTAATTGTTCTGCAGAATATTAGATATTATGTTGGCTTGTCATCGAAAAAGAGTAAGGGTAGTAATGTTATACAGCTCGTGAGACTCGTTTATTTCATGTTCCAAGCGATGGCAATATAGGTGATGGACACATCATGATATCAATATCATCAATATAAGTCCGCGTGTGTCCCGTCTTGGTGGAAAGATAAGGTTGCGATGATAATATAGCAACCACGGCCGTTGCTCTGCAGGGTGTTCACCGCAAATAGGATCTTTCCATTCGAAAATTTCTTGATTTGAGAAAAATATACATCGAATCTCCCGCCATGAGTTAGGTTAGGTCGTTGTACATGGTTATACCTATTACATCTATAAGCAATGTATTAAATTTTACTGCAGTAGTGCTCGAATGAATTGAGAATGGTTTTATATATACACTTATTATACAGAGTTAGATTTTAGTTCATTATCAGTGCATACCAAAGCTGGTGTGAATAGGTACATCAAATGTTATTCTGTTCTCTTTTGTCCACCAATTATATTTACTTGATTTGATTTTTACTTATAGACAAAATGATGTGTCAAACCGAATAAGTAGGTAATAACTATTTTGGGAACATATTATTTCTGTTATATTGTTCATAATCGATCTTCAAGTATTGTTTAACAACGAATAAGGATTAATTACATTGTGTGTTGTCGTTAAAGCTTATTTAAGCATTCTTTGCCATTTTAAACATACACAATATCACCAATACAATTATTAAATACTAATCAGATAATATATAATTTTTAAATTAGAACTAAATCATTTATCGTTTGAAAAGTATAATATATACCTATGACCTATGTTCTATAATTAAAAACGTTTTCAATAATTCTTCAAGTCAAAATTTAAATTTGCACATATTATGTGCTATTGCATCTACATAATATAATAGTTCAGTTAAATACAAAGTACCTATATTTATGCCAATCAACATCAATACGAGTTGAGTATAATATAAAATATAATAAATTTAAGTTCTGATTACTGATATAAATAAGTTATTAGACTTACATGCTTAGATTAAATTATGTCACAGGTTATAATTTTTTATGTAAAGCATAATACAACTTTATAGGCTTATAATGAATTCGAGCACTGAATGTAATTAACAATAAATACATCATAATTCGTAAATGTATACATATACTTAGGGAGGATTCAAGTAAGATGAATTCAGAAATAAACATTATTTTTTATAATTATAGTATTAAGTACTATGATTAAACAACACGCTAGATACCTATAACCTATAGTCTATACATGCCATCTAAAAGTAGAATTATTATAAATACCTACACTTAACTATGACATAAATACAACTTCCAATATTTTGATGTGATATGAAATGTATTTTAATATGTTGTATATATAATATGACAGGATGCCATTGTAATCCCTATAGTCTTAACTTAAAACAAATTGTAATATAGTAGGTAGGTCGTAATATAAGACAAGTACTATACCTAGGCGCGTCCTATAAGATATAGGTATTTTATAGTTGATTGGTTATGGTCAAATATATATACCTACTTAAAAATAGATCCTGCGTATGTAGAAGATCAATTTTAAATTTTAGATATTTTTTAAAGTTATAGTAGATAGGTACTATTTTATTATAAGAAATCTGATTTCGTTTAGTTTATAAAATATTACATGATATATGATCTATACAATTATTTCGATTGTAGGTATCTATCTAGTCATAGATCACTTCAGAAGTTGTACGGTTAATAAATAACATGTATAACAGAAATAGGAATACATTTTTATTTTTTTCTCAAAATTCTATATTATGACGCCTATTTCAATCAGAAAAATGAGCTTAAGTGATAAACATAGTAAATAATGGCATAGTGAAAGACAGAAAGGAGGCCTCCCAGAGGAGGTGCTTCAACAGAAATTATTCTATTGATACATCTAAATAAATAGGGAAATATTTTTAAAAATATGTAGGTACCTTAACTATATTAAGCTATATATAGATTTATAAAATTATTGCGTGTAACTGTGTAAGTCATATAATTAAATTAAGTAGCTTAAGACACCTATAGGTACAATATATTCTTTTGTTCAGCTTTTAAATGGTATATGTGCCATATTTTCGATTTTATTTACACATTATACACACTGAAAAAAAAATTATTGCTCAAATTAACTTGCTATCAACGTTCTATACAGAATTAAAAATCTAATTAAATAATTGAACAAATCATAATTAAATCGAACACATACAATTATTTTGAATATGAATACATTTTAACTTGGGTAGTTATAGGTTTATAACACATTATTCATCAAACTGATTAATTAATTAATTGAAAAAGTATTCATGAATAGTAGTATAATATTTAATGGCATTTAACAAAAATATTTTGATATTATAATTCATAATAATGATGTAGTAAATTTAAATTCAAATTAATATTCTGAAGTACCTACCTACTTTTATTTTAACTTAAAAAAATGTTAATAATAAACTGTAGTTAGAAATAATAACTATAGAAATGAGAGCAAGTGTAAAATAAAACATTATTACTATTGTATAAACAAAATCATATTAATTTAATGATTAATTAAAATAAAATATGCATTTAATTTTCACACTACAGTTATTCACAGTTAATAATTCCAAAAATGTTGATATTACTAAGATAAAATATATTGCTTAAATAATTATTTCACTATCCGCCAGGCATAAGCTCTACAGTCTACAAGTTTCACCATAGTATGCTAAATATAGTACACCTATTGGTTTTCTATATAAAAGATGTACTAAATATATTTTAAAAATCAACATTATTATACACCTCGAATTATATCTACGTAAGTCTAAACTCAATGTAATGATTTTTATGTTTATTCTTAAAGCGCGTTTTTTTTTTTTGATAAAATATTGTTCAGGCAAATGCAAGATTAATCCGTATCAATTTTAGAGGTTTAGCACAATTTTATTTATATGTTTGTGTCAATTTAATTCTGGCATTTCAGCCGAATGCATACTATTGGCTTTAGTACAGCTTGTAGCAAATCCAAGTTCCTACTTCCGAGTTGAAATTACCAACCAATTTCGTACGAAGGCATATACTCGGTTTTTACCGTACCTAGCAACCAATCGGTCGAAATTGAATTTATATTAAAGGGGGATGGGCTTCCTTTACATGCATATAGTTTTTATGCGAAATCGAAAAGTTTTCAAATGCAATTCCCCGGTCGGAAGACTCGTCATAAATCATAAATTGACTTAATTTAATAATTCGTATGTAACAAGGAAATTAAAAAATTTCCGCATTTTCCGCCAGCCACAACTGATGTGTAGTATCCGATTACAATCGATTAACAATTCTGATCGGTGTTAGGTATAAAATAGTTAATATTGAAATACAATTAGAACGCTGTAACCATCCAAAAGAAATATATCCAAAAATATTCGAAGGGCCGAACCTTAATATGTGTACCAGTGAAAAATAAATTTCATTCATTTTTTAGCCACCCGGAAGTACAGAATGGCTGAAGAACTGTTTTATTTCAATCCAGTCCTCGTTGAATAGGTTGGTTTCATGCACAATAATAATAAAATATTCACTGAATTATTGAATTAATAAGCAGGTATATGTTGTAAACGAGGTGATGATAATCTTATAGAAAATACAATTTTTTAAATGCTTTAAAAAAGGTACTTCATATTACAAATTATAATGCATTTAAAAACATATAAGAATTAAAATTACACACACACACACAAACACTCAAATGTTAAGGGGAATAGTTGTTGAATATATAAAGTTATCATGATAATACCAACTTACCGCCTAGGTGTAAATTTAAATCTAGTTGATTTGATGCAACCTAACCTAATATAATAAACATAATAGAATATATGCATTTTTACTAAGTATTTTATCTATGGTAAATAGTAGGTATACCTACCTAACTTACAACCATTAAATAATTTCAATGCAAATCTAAAAAATCTAATGTAAATGATTAGCTATGTAATACATAATTTAACTACATTCAGTATTCAAGTATAGTAAAATATTGTAGTAACACAAATTAGTATTATTTTTTTAAAATAATTGTTTCTCGAATTATTTAATTTAAATGTTATATTATTTTCATAAAAGTCCACAAATTCGCGATACACCTTTAACATCAATATACGGCACAAGTTTTAGGAAGCACTGTAGATCTATACAGACAAATGTTTTAAAGAACCATTTCTCTTGAATCAAAAACAGTTTTTTAAGTATTAAGTTTATATTTTTTTATTTATATTTTTTTATATAATAAATATATTTATATACTATAGATGATTTAGTTTCAAATATCTTAGTAAATATTTAGGTTAACTACTTGGATAATCTACACATAATATTATAGTATGGTAAGTTGATATATTTCAACAGTCGTTAATGTTTCTGCAGGTGAGGTGCACAGTTTACTCAACAGCGAAACTCGAAAATATTATATAAGCATAGCTTTTTAGTATTACTTCCAAGTTGGTTACTATAAACTTGTTCTAACATAAATTATTATACTTCTTGTAAGTCATTTGTATTATTATCTTTTATCTTGAATAGACCGTTGAGTATGCATTTAATAGATATATGTTTAGTTTAGAAAAAATCATTTCGTTAATTAAAAGGAAATTAATGACACTTTCAAACAAAAATGATTTAAAATTTTATATATTTACAAATGTATCCAATTTTTAATGTTCAATTTTCAAAGTCTCACAACCTATGTCTATACTCTATGTATATTATTTATAGCATTGGCACAATTTTAAGGTAGACATTTACAGGCTACGGCATAGAATTATAATGTACTATACTACTATGTAATTACTTACGATAATAGCTTGACAATTGCCAATTATTACAATCGAAAAAAGGTTCTAAATTCTTAACAGCGTTTAGC